AATTGACATCGTCCATCCACGCTGTGACGTTGCGCGTTCTCCCGGTTCCACATTTAAGCCGATACCTTGGTTCCTTCTGCGACGTATTGGAGATGGCGAGCAACCTGCGTTCTTTCGTCGTCCACGGCTCCACACAGGCCCTGATAAGCATCACCGGCTCTCCGCGCGTTGCGGCGATTGTAGCTGGGGGCACGATTCCGTTGACCAAACTCGAGATGGAAGGCATCGACCCAACTGGACTGCACGCCCTGGGATCCGTCCGCGGGCTTTCCTCACTCACATTCTCGTTTGCTCCTTCCTGGAACCCAGGATTAGAACAATTGACCAAGATCATCCAAAACTCTTCAGATACCCTCACCGAGATTGCTCTCCATGCGGTATATGCCATGGGCGGTGGGGCACGCTGGACTCTCAAAAGCAATGCCCATGCATATTTTGCACCTTGTGTAAAAGTGCGCAGGCTCAGCGTGCAGGACATAGACATCGAAACCGATTTTTTGTCCGTCGGCTTCCCTGAGCTCGAACACTTGGCTCTTGACCACGGATGCTTGATGGACACGACAGGAATTCTCGGAAGGCCGGTTTGGCCAAACCTCAAGTCCCTGAAGTGCCCTCTTGAGCTTGTTTATGCTTTGCGCAGTAGCAATCTGTCCAAATTGCACCGTTTGTCCGTGGATAGTATCCTGGAAGATCAAATTGCGTGTTTTGGAAGCGCCCTGGCGAACTTCCCTCTGCGACGATTGTTTCTGGGTGCCTTTCTGCACCGCGATGGCCTGCCACGTGATGTATCACCCGTCCAGGACCTTCTCGCTCACATCGCACCCTCTGTCCCGCAGCTGCGCGTGATGGAGGTGAAAGTGTATGGTGTTCTGCAAGTCAACATAGATTTTTGCGAATTTGTGAGTATTGTGGTGGCTTCTACATTTGATGATTCCAGAGCTGAATACGTGCGACGGACAGGTGCATCTGGGCTTCGTGAGCACCATCCCCTGGCCGAAAGACATCAAATACGTGTCAATGAGCCTCGTCGACCTCAGTTCTCCTTACGACCGCCTCGCGCCCTTGTTCGGCCCTAGCCGCGAATCGGGTACGCACTGGTTTCAAGCCATACCCTCGCTGGAGTATTTTGGATACACCCTCAACGACTCGACGGCTGCGAGTTTTGTGCGGAGGCTTTCACAGGAGGAGGATGGGACCGCTCGTAGAGATGAGATTGAGTGCTTTTCGCATGTTGCAGACGTAGACCCTGCACAGTACGAGGAACCTCGTGGATGTTGAAAGAGATTACGGGTCATCTGTGAGCATGATGATCTGTTTTGGGTTTTGAGTCTTCCTTCTCATCGAAGCAAGCTATCAGTGAGGCATATGACCCATGACAAGACACGAGTCGGCATTCACAGCTCTTAAGTCAACGCTAGCTCAGTACCCCGGCTCAATATGCTTTCTTTGTATGCTGAAAGCTGTCCATATTCTCTCAATGGTCACCATCGGGTTCCTCACGTTCGACGTTGTACGAATAGATGAACGGGTAGTTTTTGTCCCATGTTCGATGAAACACGTTCGGACATCGGAATTAACCATCTGCTGCTCAGCCTTCCTCCGCATATATATCCTCCGCATATATATCCTCCGCATCGAGACAAGCAGCAGGCCATGTTCCTCCTAGACCAGCTGGGTGATATGTATGTATGACGGCACGGGGACCGTGGTTACGTGATTATTTCTTCTATCCATTTTCGTTATCGTCGGGCACTTAGACTGGTATCGACGTAGCACCCACTTTGTTTGGCTAAAAGTAAGGATGCTTGTGATGTGTTGTCCTATGCAATTGTTACATCAGTCTGCTTAGTAAATACATAGAACTGCGCTACGCTGGCACCTTGACATTTCTCTTCAGCCTGCTGTCATATTTCCGAGCGCGCTCTTCCTTATTAGGGGTACTCAGAGTGCTCGATTCTGAGTCGATTCGGAGGGCGATGTTGGGGTCGATGTTGAGGTCGATGGACGGTCTGAGATCGTGTGAAAATCGCCTTTGACTCTGAGCGCCCCGTCTTGCCCATTCGATTCTAGCATCGACAACGCAAGTCGGATTCTGATGAACCACTACTGTTGTACAGTGTAGATCTATGAAAGTCTTCATTGTGAACAAACTCGTCACCTGCCTCTATCATGCTTCGCTACGGTGAACAATGTGGATGAGTTCAGCGTGCTCTACCGCTGCTAACTGATGCAGCGACACCAGCGAGTCGATTGACTCAAGTAGCACGTCTGGGAGGCTCACAGTGAATTCGGCGTTTAATTGTACAAAATGCTAGTGCTGCGACCCAATGGGAGAGCGAAGAAAGCTGAATTAAGATAAATTGAGATGTTTAGTATGTATTTTATCTAGAAAACAAAAGAAATATGCAACATCGTCTACCCAAGATCGTCTCAGCATCGACTCGACGATGCTAGTTTCGACTCCGGAGGAGATGCCAGCATCGCCCTCCGATTCTGGTTTCCCACGATCTTAGCGTTCGAAATCGACCTCAACATCGACCCCAACATCGCCCTCCGAATCGACTCAGAATCGAGCACTCTGAGTACCCCTATTAGCTTCCGCTTTGTCAGTTATCGGAAGTTTGTCGTGTCAGCGGTATCTCGATTCTTCAGGTGCGTTACTCATGTACAGCACTTACAGAACGATGGCGGTCGGCCTTCTTAGATCGTCTATTCAAGGATATGGTCTACGAAGACACATAGAAGTATACAATGGTCTGGGGGGGAGCGAGGGAACGTTCTCGTCCATAGATCGAACCTGAGGAAGGACCCCAACTGGCAGTACTATGTAGTGCAACTACAGCAGGTATCAGACGCCGGGGCCGGGTGGGATATGCATATGAGGCGCTGAACGAGGCGAACTAGCTCACGTCGGTCAGGTGAGCGATATGAGTGTATGGTTCCGTTTGTGTGCATGCTTATTGCTATCTGGCCCGTACGCAATCCCTTAAGACTTCGCGACCCTACCCTTGTCGAGCTCTATCACGATAGCCCCCGCAAGATCGACTTACAGTTATTCTAGATAAGCCCGTCGCGTCCGTTTCATGCACATCTGACCGGGACGTTAGCACAAACTGTGAGTGCCGCGTTCTCTACCGGGAGATAGCTAGTTGCTGACTGCTTCCGAGTCTCCAGAGGACACCGATGTTCACGTTGGCCGCGCTCAACGGGGACTGCACCGCGCTTGTTCTCGATCTGTTGGACAAGAGAGCCCTGCTCACTGTCGCGCGTGTATGCAGAGAAGCCTGCGCAACCATCCGCCCTCGACTCGTGCATAACGTGTCTATCATGCAGCTTGGCAAGCTGATGCATTTCTGCCACTTCGTGCTCGCGCACAACCTGGCGTCCTCGATGCACACAATGACAATACGCGTCCACCAAAGCCCACGGCTGTCCCAGCATCTGGGGTTCTTTTGCGACGTGCTCGAGCGCGCGAGCAACCTGCAGACATTCGTTGTGCAAGGATCCACCCAGGCCCTAACCGGTGTCACAGGCTCTCCACGCATCGCCTTGCTCGTGGCTGGAAATACTATCCCGCTGACCAGCCTCAACCTGGCGGGAGTCGACCCTAACGGGTTGCATTTCCTTCGCTCTATTAGCGGATTGTCATCCCTCGCGCTCACTTTCATACCCTCATGAAAACCTGAGACTAGACCATCTGTCTCAGATCATAGAGAACTCGTCTGGGACCCTCACCGAGCTCTGTCTGGAAGCGGAACCCTCTCCAGCACGAGAAGCCGCACGCTGGGCTCTCAAAGCCGATGCTGGCGCGATATTTTCTCCGTGCGTGAAGCTGCATACGTTGCTCGTGACCAACATGGACGTCGACATCAGCTACCTGGCCGATCGTTTCGCCCAGCTCAAGCACCTGGCTGTGAGCAAGGACCGTCACCTGGACACCGCGGGGGTCGTTGGAAAGCCCGTCTGGCGAGACCTGGAGGTCCTGGAGTGTTACATCGATCTGGTGCTCGCGTTGGGCGACTCCGATCTGTCGAGCTTGCGCCATTTGGTGCTTCATGCACTCCCGCAGTCGCATATTCAGCAGTTTACGGACGTGCTGGCGCGTCTCCCGCTGCGACGGTTGTATGTGCATGCCTTCTTGCAGTCAAATGGTCCACGGGACATTGGGATACAGCGCTTCTTTGCCCGCCTTGTCTCTTCTGCGCCCGCGCTTCAAGTGCTAGAGATCGACGTGCATGGTGACGAAATGGTGGACGTGGCTTTGAGTAACTTCGTGAGTCCTCTTGCATTCGCATGCTGCATTGGCGTTATGACCCGTGCTGATCATGAACACACTGCGGAAGGTGTTCGCCACTCCGTTGAAACCCGTCCGTTGGCCAACCAACCTGAAGTACCTGTCAATCACGTCTGTCGTCGCTTCTCTCGGTTATCACATCTCTTTCATGCTTCACCACAACCTCGGCACCGCAGCGCGCTGGTTCCAGGCCGTGCCCTCGCTGCAGCACTTTTCATATGGCGTGGCTGGGGAAAATCCTGCACACTACACACGATTTTGCTCTCCCGGTGCAGGTCCTTCGACCATTCTTGACCAGATCAAATATTCCCTGCACCCTTCGAAGACAGACCCCGGCCTCTATGCGGATTATGTGAATAATTGAAGGGGCTCAGCATGGCGTGTAAGTGTGAATGCCGTACTGTGAGCATCTTGGGTTATTGATACTTGGCTTACAGCACGTGTGTATGTTTTCTCTTTGGGAGACTGTTGTAGAAGTATCTTCTTGCTCCTGCCCCGGTATGTATGGTTGCAACACAATTGCCATTAAATGTCGAGTATGACGATCGGCCTTGACTCAAGTTGAAGGGGACATCCATGCGGGTGACTTGCAACTCTTGCTGTTGCACTCTATATCCCTTTGGTCCTTCGCCCGACTCACAACCGAGTCCTCGCGAAGCTTCAAGGTTGCCGGATCGCAGCCGCCATGATGGCCCCGCTTCTCGTGGCCCGCCTAGCTCAATCGGATAGAGCGTCAGACTCTTACACAGGCGGGTTCATTCCTGAATCCAATGGTACCGGAATCTGAAGGCTGCGAGTTCGACCCTCGCGGTGGGCTAATGTTCCCACTTTGCATCGTTTTTTTGGCTTCCGGACCACTCATTACCAGCTCATGCTTCCGCCGGCCCGTGTTGCAAGCTAGCCAGGCCAACTTGTTTCCACGGTGTTGCATTGCAAATCCGTGTTTGTCGATGATTCATGTCATGGACATTGGGATGCGTCCGGGGTACGGATACTAGAACGAGAACGACAGGTGTAATATACAGATTTGTGAAAGCATTGCGATAGGACGGACGGGAAGGTCGTGAGGGGGTGTAGTACAAACGCTGATGCCATACTGTGTGGCGTGGTTACAAAGAAAGGACGGGGATACCAGATCGCCTCGCTGGTCCTTCGATTCAACGAGGCGTAGAAACTGCCAGCTACCGCTTAGAACCTGTTGCGTTTGCTGCTGCGCGGCTTTGATGCGATCTCCTGCGATGCCCTGAAGCGCATCAGCCGCCGCGCGGGGGAAACGGGGATCAAAAGGGGGGGGGGGGGGGGGGGGGAAGACGCACTTCCGGTTCTTGCCTTTGCTCGACTCGGCAGGATCGTCGACGTCCATGCTGTCGTCGTCGCGGTCCTTGCGGTACGCGGACCCGCCGGCCATGCCGCGCTTCCCCGCGGCCTTGTTCTCCTTCTGCTTCTCGAGGATCTCCTTCAGGTTCGTCGTGAGGATGCGCTTGTGGTCCTCCTCGGCGAGCGCGAGCGCCACGGTCTGCGAGGAGAGCGATGAGAGCTTGTTGTCGAGCGTGGTGAGGACCGAGCCGGTCGTCTCTGACCTGTGGAAGTGTGCAGCGTGAGTAGAGTGAAGGTGAGGGATGAAGGAGGGTGCACGCACCAGTCTTCGAGGGATCGCAGGACTGCACCGATCTTATCCGGCTCGAGGTCCCGGCCCATCGTGTACTCGACCTCGAATTGCTGCTCCTTCTGGTCGAGCTTGCCGCGGAGGATATCGAGGTATATCGCGTCGATGATGAGGTCTTCGAGCTCACGGATCGTCGATATTTGGAGTGCTTGCAGGAGGTCGGAGTAGGGCAGTATCTGGGGCGCGGATGCGATCTTGTTTCAAAGGGGGAAAGAGGGTTGGAGATGTGAGGGGTGACGTACCCGGCGTTCCATGGCGAAGGATACGAGCGAGAGGTGCTTCAGTTTCGTGATTTGTGTGGGCGATAGTTGTGGTAGTGCATCCCGGTGCTCTACGGTACCTAGTCAAGATGACCATCGGGTCACGGACGAACGAGCGGCTCACGGAGGTAATCTTGGTATGTGCGATATGCGAATAGCTGCAGCAAGGAATAGTATTGTTGGTGCTGCTCGCTCTTCGAAAGCTGATGCACACGCATTGGTATCGTCCTGAGGTATCGTGGCTTATTCCGACCTGAGACGTACCTCCTGGATATTTGGCAGCTCGAGCAATTCGCCAAAGACGTACACACCGTGCGCGGATGTGGCGTCCTGCACAAGTTTAGCGGCTGCGGCGCCCTTGGCCGACTTGGACATGAGCACAAACGGCTCGAGCTTGGATGCGAGATGTGTGCCGAGGTCCATGGTGCGCGAGATGGACGAGCGATGTGTTGAGTGAGACTGGCTGAGCTGAGCGCTGAAAGGGACAGACGCGCGGGGAGCAGCATGGTATTTGAAATTGGGCGCCACATGCAGCCGTTTGTTTAGACTTTTGGTACGCAACCGAGCGACTCGGTTGTGACTTACTTACACGTATGCCTCGTGTCAATAGTTCATATAAAATGGATGCAGGACTCGTGTCGACGCCGTGAAGGATGCTACATATCAGCGCGGTTCTCAGGAGAGTGTGAGCACGGGGCACGGCGAGGCCTGATTAGCCGACGTTCTCCCTCGGAGGCAGGAACAGACATTGTGCTCGTCCGCCACGTACGTCCGCCCGCAATTGCTTGCTGAGCATGTCCTTCCCTTCCCTCGCCGGCAACCTCTGAATAACGCCCGCCCCGGTCCTCCCCACGCCTCTCGGGTCCGCCTTACCAGCGTCGCACCCGCGCCAGAGTCCACGTTTCACGCTCCAGTTTCACTGTAACCACCTCTGTCTTCAGCTCCCGCCCCCGTCGTCACGATCTCTCGCATTCTACCGATACCCCAGCCAAAATGTCCGCAGCAGGCCCCTCCTCGCAGGCCGACATAGACACCGCCCTGCGCGTCGTGGTCACGCCCTCCCAAGCCTCCTTTTTCGCGGGCGAACCGCTCTCTGTATCCATAACAATCACGAACATTCGCTCCCCCGAATCTCTTTCTTCCCAACGCGCGCCCCCACAGCACACACACAAACGCAGCGCGCACTCCGTCAGCTCCGCACCCCTCGCCCGCCCGCCCACGTCGCCCGGCCTCCTGCGCGCAGCGTCCACGTCCGTGCAGAAGTCCAGCACGCCCAAGGACGTGCCCGTGCGCCGGGGACTCGTCGGGCGCGGGCGCACGGCCTCGCCCAAGGGCGCCGACGTGCTCCCGGAGGTGACGAAGGATGGCAAGCGGCGGCTCACAGCCAAGTCGCTCTCCGTGCACGTCCTGTCGCCGCACGACCTCGCCGAGGAGCTGCGCGAGGAGGCGAAGAGCCGCGTGCTCAGCGCCGTGCAGCGCGCAGACGACGGCCGCATCCTCAGTGCGTCTGCACCTGTCCTTGTCTTCGTACAGTAGAGCGTACTGACAGAACACAAGCGCCCTCCTCGCCACGCATCTCGTCCCCCCTGGCTCGCACGCCAAATTTACCCCCGAACCATCCCCACGCCCGCAAGCCGTCCGTGCTCGACGCTGCGCCTCCCGACCGCACGGCCGCGGGCCCCAGCACCAGCACCGCGAACCCGCCAATACCGCAAAGCGCGTCCGCGTCCACCTTCGCGATCTCGCTCGACCCCATCGCCGAGAGCGCGTCCTCGCCCATCCCGCCCACACCCAACTTCCCCTCCCCCGCACCGACCCCGGCGCCCTTCGCGCCGCCCGTGCCCCCCAAGTCCGCCCCGCTCACGCACTCGTACCCCCCACGCCCCGCGCCCCCATCGATCACCCCCACCACGACCGCCCCACGACACCCCTCGCAGCTCGGCCTCGGGCACGGCCCGCCCCCAGGCACGACCGCCGCGCCCCCGCCCCACCCGCCGCGCAGCGCGTTCTCCTCGACCTTCCCCCCGCCGCTCACCGAGCTCGTGCTCTACGCGTACGTCCAGCTCACCGGCACGCTCGCGCTCGCCCCGCCGCCCGCGGCAGCCCGCAGCCCCGCGCTCGCCGCGCTCCGCACGCGCCGCTACCCGCGCGGCGGCGGCAGCATGGACATCACGTCCTCGCTCGACGGCGGCGCGGAGCCGCACGCGCCCCGCGGGCACGCGCGCAGCGCGTCGCTGTCTGCGGGCCTGCTTGGCCTGCTCGGCTCGCCCGCGCCGGGCGCGCGCAGGCACAAGGCGCGCTCGCCGTCGTATGTCGCGTCGTTCTTTGCCGCGTCGAGCTCGTATGAGGCGGGCCAGGGTGCGGGCGTGGGGCTGGGCCTGGGCGTGCAGGAGGAGGAGTGGGATCCCGAGACGCCGTTGCCCGTGCTTGAGGTGCCGCCGGCGATGCTGGCGGTGGATTTGACGCTGGGACCGGGCGAGTCGCGGACGTGTGAGTGGTGTTTCTTTCGTCTGCCCCGTTCATACATACGTATTTTCTTTTTGAGTTTTTGAGCATTTTTATATGAGGGAGAATGGTGCTGATGACTGGGTTCGGTGTTTGTGGTGTTTGCAGATACGTACGCGGTGGACCTGCCCGCGTACCTCCCGCCGACGTACAAGGGCCGCACGCTCAAGTTCTCGTACCAGCTCTCGGTCGGGACGTGCCGCGCGGGCGCGAACGCGGGCGCGGCGACGCCGAGCGGGGCGAACAGCAACAGCAGGGTCATGAAGGTGCCGATCCGGGTGTACAACCACGTCGCCGGTGCGTTTACCTTCCATGTGCAATTTTTGTGTGAGGTGTGTGTGTGGGTGCGTGCTGATGTGGTTATGGGTGTGCACAGTGGACGTCCCGCAGATGCCGTATAATTTGCTGGCGCCGACGGTGATGCTGAGGGACCGCCCGCAGGCGAAGGTGACGGAGGATCTGAGCAAGGCGTTGGGCGGGGCTGTGAAGAGCTCGAGGGGGATGGCGGCCGTGCCTTCGCGTGAGTGCATTTTATTCCCCGTGCTGTACCGGGGTAAATCTTAACATTGTCTCCAGCTGGGGTAAAGACGGCGAAAGGGTCTCTAGGCGATTTACGGGCCTACGCTGCGCGCCTCCTTGCGTCTGCCGAACAGCTGCGCGAGGACGAGATCAATGGCGTCTCGCCCACGGCGGGCGACGAGCAGGAGCGGGAGGGCGAGGGCACGCTGAAGGGCTGCCGCGAGGCGGTGGAGATTCTGACGCGCGTGCCGAAGAAGATATCTTACGATGTCAACAAGGACGGCGTCAAGGTCGCGGTGCTCACGTTCACCAAGTCTGCGTATAGGCTTGGGGAGACGGTGCTCGGCGTGGTAGAGCTCAATGAGCGATCTAGCAGGGCGCGGGTACTTAAGGTAAACCTGCCAGTGTTTTTCTCCAATATTGACTTGATTTTGATTCTGGCGCACACAGCTCTCAGCAATGCTCGAGGCGCACGAGTCTCTCCCTTCGTCACTATCCTCAGCCTCGGATGCGCGACACATGCGCCGCGTGCACGCCGAGTACCACTCGTCCTTCGTCCTCTCCTCCCTGCGCACCACGTTCACGCTCGACATCCCCTCGGACGCGTCGCCTGCGTTCCAGCTGACGATGGGCGAGCCGCCGCTCGGCGGGCTCGAGTGGAAAGTGCGCCTGTGCCTCCTCGTCGCGGTCGCGGCGCCGCCCGCGGCGGGCGGGAAGCTGAAGCAGCTCGTGCGCAGCGGGATCCGGGGCGAGTGGGGCAGCTCGTGGGTGCCGACGCCGAGCATCGCGCCGCTCGAGCGCCCCGAGGAGCCCAAGCCCAAGCCCAAGCCCGCCGCAGCCGAGCAGGCGCCGGCGCCGACGTCGTTCTGGTCGACATTCTTCACGAGCACGTTCGTCGCGCCGACCGCGAGCGGGTTCCACGACGGCGACGACCTGGACGACGAGGAGGACGGGGAGGGGCGCAGTCTCGGCGAGGGCGAGGTCGACCTCGGCGCGGGCGAGGAGGGCTGGCGGCCCGTGCGGGTCGAGACGGTCGAGTGCGAGGTGCCGGTAAAGGTCTGGCCGGGAAACACTGCGTTCCGCGCTGTGGACGTCGTGTTCGACGTCTGAGCGCGCGGTTGGGGTTGGGAGGCGGTGGGCTGCGTACGTGTACTCTGCGCGTCGGTGGCCGGCGGGCCCGAGGACGCGGGTCGCTCGCGGCGGCGGGGTCAGTTGACTGGGCCGCCCGGGTGTCGGGCTGGCACTGCTGGATGGGGAGCGCTGCTGCCGCTGGGCGTGCGAACGGTGCGAGTTGGGTTGAGTTGGATTGTGTGCGCAGGATGTATGTGTGTGTGTGTGTGTACATGTGAGTGAGTGCGGGGAGGAGAGCGTTGGGGACGCCGGATCTCGTGCGGGGGTTACAGTCGCTTGGCTTAGGGGGCGGCATTGTGACGTCAGGCCCGCTGATGTAGAACAGCTTTGTACGCGAATACACATAGACGCTTCCGAGGGTTAGCATGGCTTGTTAGTGGCATCTGGGATGGGTGATGCGGGCGCGGTGAGTGGTCGGTGGATGTGGGGTAGACGGGGAGGGCGTCGGTGGGGATGACATGTGACTCTGGCGGGGCGGAAAGGGGAAAGGAGGGGTGAGCCGAGAGGGAGGCACGATCAGGTGGACAGGCGGAGGCGCCCCTGGTCCCATGCTCGAGCTCGCCTGCACACGCTCTCCTCCTCCTCCTCCTCCTCCCTCTCTCTCCTTCCACATAGACGATCCCCTGTATTCCTCTAGCTGCATCTGTTAGACATCTACTTCTCTCTTATTGCTTTCTGCAGCCTAGAGCAGTCCGTTCTATACGCCGACATTCAGGCTCTCTTCTCCCCCGAAGGCCCACACGACTTTACTACTTTGGTGCTCGCCGATTCGCCGAACGATCTCTAATGTCGGTCGCTTGCTGTCTTCCTGCCCTCTGCATCCTCACCCCCCTCTAACAGACTGTATTCTCCCATTTCTACAAAACCTCCACCCGAGGAAGATCCGCATCGCCCTCCCCCGCTCGACACGCGCCCGTGCATAATTCCTGTCACCCGCACGCCCCGAAGCAAAGCTGGCGACCGTACAGAATCTCCAGCACCTCCGCAATCTCGGCACCCCCGCCTCTGCGATGTCCCACTCAAACGGGAACGCTTTCCAGCAACCGGATGACGCGGATCGCAGGAATCGATTCGTCGCCTCCCAGTCCTCCGACTCCAACGGCCACCAGTCCCTACGCGAGCGCGCTGCGAGCCAGCCCCCGCGCTCCTCCAACCAGACCTTCATCACCCAGCCCAACGTCTCCCCCAGCCTCGGCCGCGGCACGTCCCCGTGGTCCGGCCAGCGCTTCACCGGCGCCCTCCCCTCCATCCCGACGCGCAGCTCGTCCTTCTCTGCGACTGTACCCACTCTCCAGAGCAGCCTCTCGTCCCTCCGCGAGTCGCGCGCGTTCGCCTCCACGTTTGAGGACGACGAGTCCGAGGCCCTCTCCGACACGTATGACGAACGCTTCGTGCCCCCGTCCTTGCCTGTTCGCGGCCGCAGCTACGCAGCCGACCTCACGCGCAGCCGCTCCCAGTCGCTCGCGACGACGACGCGCCCGCAGCCCATAGGCAGCCCGCTCTCTGCGGGCCTCTCGGGCTGGGCCGACCCCGGCTTTGGCTCGAACCCGCTCAACATACCTGGCTCGCGGTACGGGGAGATCAAACCACCTGGCAGCAGCCGGTACGGTTCCCTTGGTGCATCGGGTAGATCGCAGTCCAATAATTTCTCTTCCTCGCCGACCGGCATTCCTGTCGGCAACGGCTTTTCCTCCCGCAGCAGCCACTCGCAGGTCGATGCGTCCAACATGAGCCCCTTCGTCCGCGACGTCGGCCAGATCCTGCTCGACGACGGCTCCGCATTCCGCGAGCTCTGGGCGGGCATGAACCCGCCGCGTGACGAAAACGGCGGCGGCGGCAGCGGCACCACCAGCCGCCGCCACAGCGTCAGCGTCGTGCAGCCCCGCCGCGGGATTGTCGGCTTCAACGCGCCCGGGCTGGACAGCTCAGACGAGCCCACGCGACCTGCCGTCTTCCCACAATCGTCATATGGCCGCGGCGGCCTGATGCTGACGGACGAGGACCTCGCAAGTGACCTCGGGCTGCTCAGTCTCAACGGCCCCGGCCCCACGTCGTCCAATATGCCGCCCAGCCAGCCCTCGTCGCTCCCCATCTATGCGCCGCACTCCCGTAGCCCCCCGGCCTCGGAGCGCCTCTCGCCGTACCAGCCCCTCAACCTGTCCATCCCCGGCGGCAGCTTCTCCTCACGGCAGGGCGTCGGCTCGCCCAGCGAGAGCGGCCTCTCCGGCGGCGGCAGCCCCGCGATGCAGCACCAGGAGTACCACGGCGGCGCGCAGTCGCAGCAGCAACAACAGCAGCAGCACCCGTCGACGCTGAGCGCGCGGTTCATCCCAGGGCAAGGCATCCAGTACGTGCCCATGCACGCGGAGGGGCTCTCGACGTCGCCGTACGGGCGCGCGCCCGCGGCGCTCGCGTCGCCCATCTCGCCGTCGGGGCGCGGCGTGCCGCAGGCGCTGTTCCGGCGCGCGTCCGAGGCGGGCGCGCCGCAGAACGTGAACGTGAACGAGCTCGGGCGCGGCGTGCCGCTGCACGCGGTGCCCGCGTCGTGCCCGCTGTTCATCGTCGAGTTCAAGGCGGGCCGCACGGACCTGTTCTACGCGACGGACCTCGCGCTCGACATCCGCGTCGGCGACTTGGTCATCGTGGAGGCGGACCGCGGGAAGGACCTCGGCAAGGTCGTGAATGACACGATCACGCTCGCGGAGGTGGAGGAGTTCCAGAAGCAGCAGCAGGCGCGCGCGGGGTACGGCGATGGCCCGGCGAGTCCGGGCGGCACGGCGGGCGCGGGCGCGGCGAAGAAGGAGATTAATCCGAAGATGATTTATGGGAAGGCGCAGCCGCAGGATACGCAGTGAGTGTCGTGGTGGTTCGATGGGTAGGCTTCTTTTTCTGACACGTGCGCAGGTTGCTGGTGTCGAAGATTCAGGATGAGGTCAAGGCGCTGCAGTTGTGCCAGACGAAGGTCCGTCAGAAGAAGCTCCCGATGGAGGTCATCGATGCTGAGTATCAATGGTGGGTGCTGCTTGTGACTGGGGTCATTGCCGTTTGCTGACGGACTGCTGGCGCAGGGATCGACGTAAATTAACGTTCTATTTCATTGCTGAGAAGAGGATTGATTTCCGCGAACTGGTCCGAGAACTCTTCCGGTGCGTTCAATTTTAGATGACGGTGTCTCGTGGTTCGTGGCTGATTCTTCCACAGGTTGTATAAAACGAGAATATGGATGGCATCGCTGCAAGGGCCCAGCTACGAACAGTGACCTCCCGCGAACGCTCGCCGCGTCGCATAATCAGCTCTCTAATCGCTAATGCTCCCTCCACGCACAGTCTAACCCCCATAGACTGCCCGCCGCCGCACTCACTCACCACACCCCCACATCCACACCCAAACAAATGTTCGCCCGCCGCTGCCATTGCCGTGATGCTGTCCCATATGCTTGTTTTGTCCCACATCTCAGTCCCGTGTCCTGTCCATAATTTACCGCCCGCAAGCGCGTTGTACGAGCTAGTACGTAGTCTCCAGTAAGTAGTAGTGCCGATCTCGAATTCGGTTCGGAGGCTGTCGTTATCGTTGTCATATCCATATCCCGCCGTGTTCGTGTCTGTGTCTGTCTGTGTGTTGGACATTAGGTATATTCCCCGCCCGCTTCTGCCCCCGTGTGCCCGCGTCGACGTCTGCTTCATGTTCCATGTTCCATGTTTGTTCGGCCCCGATATTCATATTCAGTTCGCAATCTCATGTGTACATCACGCCGGTTTTCTGCTTCTGCTTCTGCTTCGTACTCCTTCTTTCTTCACAGTAGCAATGTGGCTTCTTCTCTTGTTTCCTGTTTCCTGTCTTGCTTGTCTCCGGATCCGGTCCCGGATATTTATGGACACCCGAACGAACCAGCGAACGAGGGGAAGGAAGGATGCTCGAGACGGTGTCATACGCGTACGCACGTCCAAGATCGATTACAAGTGTGTGTATGTATATACGATACGGTATACTGTACGATACATGTATTATTATGCATCTCGAATGTCGGACTGCCGAGCGAGCATCGATTCAAGTATAGGTTGAAATAAGAGGTGGAAGATTGGAAACTCTGGAAGCAGAATCCAGATCGATGAAGCCTCGCGGTGGGCTTGGCCTTGATAGGCTTTTCGGTTGGACACGAAGCACGAAGCGTAAAAGCGTAAATGTTGGTCGCAACGCAATCTCGGAGGCCCGGAGCGCTAGCGCTAGCCTCGGAGGCCATCTTGGCAAAAGTCACTTGAACTACGGAGAAACGCGATGTTCCGTTAGCCCCTAACCCTGCCCCGCATGATCCGGGTACGCGCTATTTGTCCGCATCGCGAGCCAAACAACGCACAGGCATTGAAAATGGAAAATTGAAAATTCGGTGCAGCTCTTTCCCGCTTGCTTGCGAGAGGAAAAAAAAAGGAATTGATTCTTCCTGTACACTAGCCCACCGCGAGGGTCGAACTCGCAGCCTTCAGATTCCGGGAATTGACTCGGGGATGAACCCGCCTTCAGAACTTAAGAGTCTGACGCTCTATCCGATTGAGCTAGGCGGGCCGTGGAGGGTATTGTTATATTGATTACTTCACGACTTGGTGACTTGGTGACAAGCTATGTAAAAGTCTCCTGGCCATACACGATATCGATATCGATAGAGTCTCCAAGCAATACACAATAAGCACTCCTTGTGTGAGACAGAGCGACACCTGTACCTGGAATTCAGGCATACAAGATTTTGGCATTGGCTCGACGGGCAAATGTTGCACATTCTGCTCTGATACCGTCGAGAGGAACAAAAAGTTCGTTATTCTATCATTTCAACGTAGCCCACCGCGAGGGTCGAACTCGCAGCCTTCAGATTCCGATGACTGGAATGCACCCGCCTTAAGAGTCTGACGCTCTATCCGATTGAGCTAGGCGGGCGATGTCGGGGTATACGAGTGAAGTCCTATTACGGCGTCGGCAGAGGTCAGCGAGAGGCACTGCCACCGCAGCACGTTTTTCGTGACGCGCGCGTGCACCGCAGGCGCGTACACACGGCCAAATACGGCGACGCGTCGCAGTCAACAGACGCCTCCATCTCCCGTCTGCCCAAAAGCGCACCTTCCGCCCTCAGCGCCTCTCTTCCCCATCACACGAACGCGCCACACAGAAGAACATGAAGGTGAAAGTCAAGCACTGGCACGCTATTGCCCAGTGGCAGTGGGACACGGGCAAGCCCGAGGAGCAGGGCGATGCGGAGGAGGACGTGTGTGGAATCTGCCGCGTCCCGTATGAGGGCTGCTGTCCGTCGTGTAAAGTCCCCGGAGATGACTGTCCGTTGAGTGAGTTGTTGCGCTGTGCTTTGTTGGTCTGGAGCTGATGGGTTTGGGTGCAGTATGGGGCGAGTGCAGCCATGTTTTCCATATGCACTGTTTGCTCAAGTGGATTGGGACGAGTGCGTCGAAGCAGCAGTGCCCTATGGACCGAAGACCTTGGGGTACGCATTGCATTTTCTTTCATCTCCCGTTGGTGCTCATGCGATACGTAGTTACCGCGGAGCGGAAGGTTGCTGCGAACGGCAGCTAACCCGCCTTGGCCCCGACCCGGCTTCTCACTTAGATCTCGCTTTCTCTTTGGATATCCCTCGCTCTGGAGTCTGTTGTATCGCTGTACAAGATATAATCTGTATCCTACGTCTATCTTCCTACGCCTCCTGAACGTAACGACATGCCCTTTGTCACGGATAACCTCCTGCGCTCTTCTCTTCCGCAGCCAGCACCCCGTCCATCAGCCCCTCCCTCCACTTGCTGCCCTTCCCGGACATCACATCGCTCGATACCTGCTTCCGCTGTACCACCACCGACCGGACGACGCTGAACGCCCGCACGCGACCGCTGCGCACGAGCCACGCGAGCGCCTGGTCAATCGCACGCGAGTACGCGAAGGGTGGGTGCCGCAGGTGCAGCAGCACGCGGCGCGCGCCACTCCTTGACAGGACGTACGCGTGCGTGCACTTCGGAGCTACAGAAGGGTGCAGAGAGGAGCGGCTGCTGAGCGTGGCGTGAAGGTTAGCCGCAACATCCGGTGAGGGGGGAGGTGGGCTCGAGCTAGTGTGCAGAGCGGGGTTCAGGGATTCATCGGACCAACAGTGACCTGTGGCGTCAAGTTCATCTCCGTTACGTAGAGGGTGCGTCCACCAGATGTGCTACTTACCTAAGTAGACGATGTCCCAGTCGACAGGCAGCGCAGGCCATAGCCCCTCGAGTCGCGCCTGGATGTCCCGCTCCATGTCCACGTCGTCTTCCAGGATGATTGCCGGCCTCTCGTCTTGGCTGTTCGCGATCTCGCGGATGACCTGCATGTGGGAGTGCCAGCACGCGACCTTGGCAGGCGTCAGGATTCTCTGGGGCGGCAGGGCCGCCGAGAAAGTTGCCAGAAGCCGGTTCTCGTCTGTGCATGCCAAGTGCAAGTTCAGCTTCTTCGCGTGCGCGCTGGAGTGGGACTGCAGCCGGTGCGCGGGGTGCAGTTCTGCGACGATGGGCAGCTCGCTGCTGTCGAAGAACTGAGGCTCAGAGGGTACCGTCCAGAGGTCGGCGCCAGAGGGCTGGAGAGGTCCAGGGGCGTGCACGAGTTCGTCAAGGACGTCTGGCCAGTGAAACCCAGGTGCGTGTTCCATGTCGATTTGCTCGGACGGGTCTGCGAGGGGATTGGGGTCGTCTGACCGTGAGAGGACGACTGAGGCGATTTGCGCTCGCAGGGCGCGCACCTGGCGCAAGATGGCGAAGACTTCGGGGTGGCTCGCGTCCACGGCGTCGACATAGGTCCATTCTAGATCGAGAGACGCCCGCAGCCGGTCCATTTGCTCGCGACGGTCGGTGCGCGCGGGAAGAGAGACGACGTATATCCGCGACGCGACGCCGAGCGTTCGTGAGCGGTTCGCGGGAGAAGGCGCCGGGAGGACTGGTGAGAGCTCGTTTGCGGCGCTGCCGATAGTGCCTTGCGTGGCGTTCTCAGGCCAGAAGGGTGCGACGAGGGCCAAGCAGAGGGTCAGCGGTGCCTCGGAAAGCAGGTGGAAGGTGGAGAGGACTGTCAGAGATATCGCAAGGGCGAGAGCCACGGTGCGCCGGGACGATAGCAGGTGAGAAGCTTGTGCATCATGGGAAGGCATGACGCGGATTTATTGATGACGCCTGTTATCGAGGACGCGGAAGCAGAGACGGAAGAGATACAGAATTCGAGGACGGCGGGGAACGCTGTATAAGGTGATACTACACGCTTTGAAATGACCAGCCTCCTGGACCCCGGGTTTCGACCAGGTCCGGTATTTGATATGTTCCTGCAGATCGGGATGATAAGAAGAGAAAAAGGTGGTGCGCGGGGTGGTAGGAGCGGGGTCGACGACGGCGTCCTGCATTCGAACAGGGAACGCTCAACCCACGCGCGTGGGGAGGAATGCTCAATGTCAGGCCACGTGATCGTGGATGGTTGCCTTTTCGAACTTTCCTCCTGCCTTTTTCGCTCACTTGCTCTATTCATTGGTTGCTGCACACCTTCAGGCCTCGACGGCTGCGGTGGGTATATGTCGTGCTACTGCTGCGCTTTGATTCTTCACCGCGTGGCTCCCGGTGAACCCGGACGATGCCAGCCTTGCTGTCACCTCGAATGAGCAGGCTAATTCAAGAGCTTGCTTGCGGTGCGATTCGCCAGTTTGCTATGTCATCCGAAATAGAGAAGTTTAATTCCGGTGCAGATGAAGGTGAGTAAGGGCTTCACTTTTTTCGAGCTTCTGCGATTGCTCCGACTGTCGTGTTCCATGGGACCATCTACGACATAGAAGATGACATAGACAAGCCTCGTCGTATCTATCTGCGGAGCCCGGCTCTCCATCCACGACCTCAGAGTTGCCTTATGTCGATGAAATTCGATTCTCACAGCCTGCTGCTGTATGTCTTCCTCACGCGGATGCTGTAGGCAAGTGTTCACTTTCGTTCTCAAGATAGCACGCTAACATGTCTACAGGTGCACTCGACTTCACAGGCCTCGGGCGGGCCAATGGTGGGCAGTGCAATCGATTCGTACGCTCATCGTGCTATTCGCGCTGCGTTTCACAGTCTCTTCAGGTGGGCAGTCGTGCGGGTCACCCTCGACCTGTCGAGCTGGCATTACCACACATACAGTGTCTGCAATCCAATCCATGTGAAGTCATAAGATGCCGTTCGGGCTTGTGGGATACCTCCGCCATGCCTACCTCAGACTTATCTCCTCACCCGTCCCGAGCGTGAAACTCTGCCGCTCATTTTTGGAGCACGCTACTGAACCCGTCTATCGGCATGGTTCTCCCAGGGACAGGAACTAGCGTGGTGCGTATCGGACGCGCGGGGCCAAGTGCGTCTGCGCATATTTAACTTCGAGCACGGCGGTCGGGCGAGCAGACCTCAGGCGGTTGCTCACGATGGCCGACATTGCCGTTTCTCCCGTCTCTGATGCCGCGTCGCAGCAGAAGGAGAGTACGTCCTTGGACGAGGATGCCAAGCTCTATGATCCAGAGAAGGGTACGTCTGCCTCGAGCTCTCCTCTGCACTTTCCGTCGCTGACCGCCAAGCGCCCCCGTCCAGCGGAAGTGATTGCCGTAAGCACTCGTCCTCGCAGCCACGGAACTCGCGACCGAGCTGACCTGGCAACGACACCCCGCAGGAGATCACCGGGACCCAGTTCGACGACCCGAACCTCGACAAGACGCACCTCGTCGACCTCGACGACGAGTCGCCGTACCCCGAGGTGCGCTCCGCCGTCGCCAACACGGACGACCCGTCCATCCCCGTGTCGACGATCCGCACGTGGGTCATCGGCCTCGCGTGGGCGATCATCATCCCCGGCCTGAACCAGTTCTTCTTCTTCCGCTTCCCCGCGGTGAATGTGACCGGCATCGTCGCGCAGCTGCTGAGCTTCCCGATTGGCCGCGCGTGGGCGGCGTATGTGCCCCGCTGGAGGATCTTTGGGTATTCGTTGAACCCGGGCCCGTTTACGGTGAAGGAGCATGTGTTGGTTACGGTGAGTTTTGGTGGCGCTAATTCGCCGAAGTCGACTCAGTGCTGGAGTAGATCATGGCGTCCGTCGGTGCGGGATCTGCATATGCGGTGAGTCTTCCATCTCTGAACCCATCCGACAGTAACTTAACGCTCGCGCACAGACCGACATCATAGCAGTCCAACGGGTCTACTACGACCAGAAATACAACTTCATCTGTCCGTCCCTCAGCTCCCATTTCCCGATACTCCACACTGACCCAGAGCATCCGCAGACCAATGGATGGTCGTAATGTCGACGCAGCTCATCGGCTTCTCCATCGGCGGCATCGCCAAGCGCTTCCTCGTCTCGCCGCCCTCGATGATCTGGCCCGCGAATCTCGTCAACTGCGCGCTCTTCAACACGCTGCACTCGCAGAACTACGCCGGCATCGGGAGCCGCGGCGGCGTCAGCCGCGAGCGGTTCTTCTTGTATGCGTTTTTGTGCACGTTCTTCTGGTGTGAGTGCCGTTATCTTGGGTTCTGTGTGCAGGCTCAGCTGGAGTGCTGA